CTCACATTCCTCACAAAAGGCTTCCTCTACTTCATCCTCATATTCACTAGTGCCCAACCACGAAGACGTTGCTTCATTGGTCATATTTGTCTCGGTAATCATTGAATTTGATACAACTGATGTCCTCTTATTATGGATGGAGCTGTTGGCCAATGCGGTACCTTCTCCACACGCGCCATTCGCGTCAATTTCAGAAGTCTGCTTAGTATTATAACCTTCCTCGCAAGCTGTTTCGACCTGGGGCTTTGATTGACTCTGCCCACCTTTTTCATCTTCTTTTCCTCCGTATTTATCAGACGCGTTTAATCTGGGCAGACCAACTGCCAAGCTGACAAGTACGCTATGCGTCGCCTCTGCTGGGTAGGTGGTCTCTCGACGACTGACAGCCACACGTGTGTTGTCGGGCAGAATAAACTCACTAGAGTACTGACGCAAAATTCTTTTACCCAGCAAGCAGATTGAAGAGATGATGTCAGTATTAATTTCCTGAAAGGCAAGGCCCTCTGGATAGACAAATGCGGGTTTCTGTGGATAATCCATCTCACTGATGGACGCCGAAGAGCTGTTTGAAGCAGGGTTTTTATTTGGAGCCTGGAAGGAAGATAGGCTTTCTCCTCGAGAGCTAATTAAGGGTGTGGTATTTTTACTTGATAGAAATATCTGATCCGTCATTGTAAAGTTAAGTCGTTAAAGGCTTTTGACCATTCACCTTGCTATAGTCCTTAGGTAAGGCGATGTTGCGGAATAAGTCGCGATGTCTATAGCATGCTCACATAAGTCAGCGACTTCTTCAGCATGGATTATGTGAGGCATCTGGCCAAAAATGTCTATCGAAAATCAGCTTATCAGAATTTCGCATTTTGAATGACCAATCAACATTTAGGCTCTTTGTTGGCTTTACAGAAGAGTATCATAAATTGACCAATAGGAGGGCGATTGTTTCATTCTCGGCCAAGTACTGCAAAATGGCAAAGTGATGTGCGGCATGCATGCAAAAGAACGTATGCGTATGCTTCCTTCAAAATTTAAAATAAATCATGGCGAACGTTAGTTTTTAATTAGCCCTGACTTTCAATAGATCTGCTTAATACTGAATGATTCAGTAAGATTACAAATAATGAGAAAAAATTTCATCACGAATATAAGGATGAAAAAAATTCTGATTTATACACTTTTAATTAGTAGTAAAATGACTTTTTTTAATAAACTTAATCATTCTCATGCATAAATTTGGAACTTTACATAAGCGTTTTAGCATAATTGAACAAATTTGGATGACAAAATATAATTTTTTATAAGTTTTAGAATAGAAGAATAATAAATTTTACGGTCAAAATAGAGAAATAAAATTATTTAAACGAATATGAAAAGGAGCTAATAAGTAATTATAAATAAGGAATTAATAGATTCTAAGTCAATTTAAAATATTACTTACAGCTGCGTGCCTATATAATACGCAAACAATAATTATCAGGTATTAGGTTTATAATATCATAAGCTCACCTAAATATTTATTCCTTAATTATCTGTATCTTTGTATACTTTTAAATTTAAATTTTATTACCTCGCACATTTAGTTACTTATGAAAAATTAGATTTTATATTGAACAGTTGATCATTTAAACGTTTTATATACTATCTTCCTATCTTAATTAAATCTTAGGCGGAGCCTTAGTTTTTAACTTTTGGTCAATATGTTATGCGCTTTAAATTCTTATTCAAATTGATGTCATTCCTTCGGCACCATATAACTCGAATTGTCGTATTTTATTTAGCTATCAAAATTGCGTATACTCGATAATAACTCAGAATTAGATAAAAAATGCAATTTATTGCATTCTTTTTTACCTAATCGACCTGTTAATCTTGCTGTGACTCCCTCGCATTACATTAAGCCCATCTCAAAATTAGGATACTTTTTCATAAAAATGTGAAATGATCGGATTTTTATAAAATTTACTTATACAAAACGAAAAAAAATGCTTATAATTATTTTATCACTTTATCGAAATAGGATCGAAACATCTCACATATATGACCTACTGGTAATCTTGAAAACCTGCATATGAACGAAAGATATTTTAGCCTTGTTTATTTTTTTACTTAAGTTTTCTTGTTAATTAGTTCATGAAGGCTTTGAAATTAAAGCTTTCTTTGCCAAAGGCAGACCGAAAGTTTGTAAGTAAATAGAAGAATTTATAATAAAAACATGCTTGCCCTGTTTTACCTTTCGTTTTCTTAAAGAACTTTTGCTCAATATCCTCCATGATAGTTATGTTAGGAGTATTATAATTAATACCAAATTAATTCAGGGGCCAACTTTGCAGAAAGATAGTGTGACGAAAATTAATCAAAAAAAAGGGAGAAGTTATGTCGACCTAAACGCCAAAGGTTCGTTTCTTGTACCGATTATAAGTAATTATCCATTAGTCATTTAGCTGATTCATGCTCTTATATTTAGAACTCATACAGGGCTAAGATTTTGAGTTTTTGCAGGCTTGCCAGTAAACATTCCCCTTGGATGTTAAGCCTTATTTTCTAAGAATTGATCTTAGAAAGAATTATTGCAACTCACGCCTTTACCTGGTATATTTATAGGAAGTTAGATTGTCACAGTTGAGTTTAGGTTTCAATGAAGAGGACAATTTTTAGGGGAGGCCGTTTCATTCAATCATTAAGCAAACGAATTTATATATTTAGATAAAAAAGATGCAGCAAATTATTCTTTAAAATAATTCGCACTTTTTAAGTGGCCACGATTTAGCCATAATCGTCTTATGCATAGTTTATTCCTATTCTCTACTTATGTAAGAATAAATGAATGCTTATTACTACATGAGAAACTGTTTAAGGGCTAAAGGGGTACTTGTTTTCGTCCCATCGGCAGGCTTATCCATTTTCTTTGTCAGTTAGCTGTAAGCTAATTTTTAAATTCGCTTGAGAATTACAAATTGTCGTTTTTTAATCTTATATTTCGTGGCCTTGTGTGTCTGTACAATGCGAACAGAAATTTGCTCTCAATAATCAAAATTATATTGTTTACTCATTAAATTTGGCAAAATTTATATAAATACACTTATTACATCACTGAAAGTCTATATTTTCACTAATTTATACAATTTGTCGATTACTTAATTTTAAATTGTGTCAACTATTTTATCTGCAATACAACTATAAATGGATGGATGATGCGGAATATATTAGAAATTCCTTTATTTTTATTTAAAAAGTGATATCTTATCAAATTATTTAGTTAGCGAATACTTATGTTTGGCTGGATCCCAAAATAGTATAAAGCTGTATATGGAGTGGCCAAATACAGACGCTCATCTTGTTCTAATAAATCAGCTGATGAGAGAATACAAATTGTCGTGAATATGAGAAACCTCTTATAAGTCCCTTCATATTTAATCAAAATTGTCTTATATTTACAGAATCGAAGATGTGGATGTGGGATTTCAAACCCTAGATAAAAAAGGTAAGGAAGGGGTGCAATAATTCTTTTACGGGTAACTGAATTTTGCTGTAACAGATTCTGATTTTATCGCTAAGCCCTAATCATTTTATTAGATATGCTTCCTAGTATTTTTGCGAAATAATATGAGAATTATAAGGAAAGCATTAAAATTCTACCAAGGATAGCTACATACAGTAAATAAATCCATTTTGTAGGCATATGTGAGTCGATAAAACAGATTCACATCAAATTAATTAATGTATACCTTTTTTTTAAAAAATCGATTTATTCTATCATGTTTTAGGAGGTAAAATTCACAATACTTTCTAAGTCCATTCATTTTATATCTAAATTACTAAATTGATCCTGGTATTGAGACATTTCAAAACGGCGAATAATTATAGACAGAAGCAAAGAAGGTCAAAATCACGTGAATGGAGTTAGTCATAGGTTTATACTAAGGAGTATCTCCTCAATATTATAGTGTTGACTGATACTTTGCACTAAAATATTTCCGATAGTTTATTAAAACAAATTAATTTGGGTTTTATACATTTAAAATAAGTTGTTTTTTAAGTTAAATAATGAGAATTAATTATGAAGATCTGAAATATCTTAATTGAAGATGCTCTAATTACTCTGAATACAAATCTAATTGATACATATTTCGTATTGTGCTTCTTCTGCTGATCAAGTAAAGGAAAGGTCCTTTCTTTAGGATTTGTTACAATCAAATGTTTAAGAAATAAATTAAAGTAGGAACATTACTAATTAAGATGAAGAACTTTTAATAAAGTATTTCAATTATAAGATAAACATTTAATATTGATATAGCCTTTGCAGGCAGATGCGGAAAAACGTGCAATGTAGCAATTTGAAAAACATAAATTGAAATCTATATCTTCCGTAAAAGCTTATACCTCTTATAAATAATGGAAGTTTAAGACTAACTAAATTGATAAAGCTAAATTTAATGAAATTTGTTAAGGCAAGCCTACATACCAAAAGGCATCATTTTTTAACAATTTTGTCTAACGTTCGCTAATAGGAATGATAACAGTTGCTGTAGTTATTTGCTGTAAATAAAAATGGTTCAAAATGGTGCATTCTAACAGTTTTCCTTCCCTTCTTTGAATGTATCTTAACTGAGCAGACCCAGCCTAAGAACAAAGGTATAACTCGAAAAATAGTTAAATCTGCTACCTGCTAATTCCAAATGTGATGCACACAAAATAACTTGGAATTTATCTGCTCAAATGTCCGATAATGGAGAATGCATTACAATTTTCCTTTGATTTTATAAATTAAAACTTTATATGGATCGTATTTATACGCGGAGTTTATTTTTACAGTATAGGAAAATTTTAAAATCTGCTTAAATCTTGATTTTTAGATAAATCAAAACTAACTTCCATAATTATGTTTTACTTGTTTTCTAACAAACATACATAGAGAAAACGGATGAAAAACGTTCAAGCAGAATGCTAATAATACGCGTATCAGGTAAAATGTCAAATGCAATTTTATTGTAGTCTTAGTTGTAAAGATTTTTCCTAACGTTTTTTCTTGGAATTTTAGTTCCTCTGCTGACATACATCTCCTTTATATATGGCAAACACGTTATAATATTGTCTAAAACCCTCACACCACACACTTACACTCTACTTATTACGCACGATTTTGTTGATTTCACACCTGAATAAGAATTGGCTGATATTCTCAGTAAGATAATTATAAGAAACTGGCTCTTGCTCAAGGTTGTGGTACTCCAGCTTGTCTAGTGAAAGAAAAACCGTAAGTGTTTTCTGGATTTACATAAATACCTCATGACAAATACAATATAGGTAAAATAGCTTTTATAAATATAAAGTATCCTTTCCAAGCAACGGTCAGCCAATACCTGCTATTGATTCTATAAAGATAATTCTTTTTCTTCAAAATTCCTTCAATCAACTCAGCTTTATCATTGTCTGCATAATTCTACATATTTCACCTATTTTGATTAATAATGTTTTACTAAACTAGTTTAGTTAAAAAGATTTTATTTCTTCTGAGAATCTTGCCTCAAAATCGTTGCCGATATGACCAAAGTTTAATCAGTTCATAAACATCTTATAATGAGACCTGTAAGCAAATTCCACACTACCTCATAAAATAACTTTTAAAGAGTTGAACTAAGAGGAATGTAATTGTAGCAAGTTTCTCCTGGTAAAAGGATTTTTCAAAGAAATAGCTAGAAGTAATA